TTAACAATAAAGATCCATCGATCAAAACAGCAAATAGCACCATTAAATTCCACATAAATTTCCAAAATGAAATAGAAAACAAATTTAAATTCACTTTTGAAACATGTTCCGGATTAAAACGGAATGATAGACATTCACTTCCACGCTAACGTTATTTTAAAAAATTTCTGACAATTGTCGAAATAATGAATTCTTACATTTTATCTAAACTGGTCACAAACTCTTTGAAAAACTTCATACCATTATCTACTGGGTAGCTTTAGCTTAAATTCAAATCAATACATGCAAAGACATAATAAATAGTAGCACCAATCATACCTACTGTGCTCCACATTGGGAAACAGGATTAAATTATAAAATTAAAAATATTAGAAAACAACTAGGTTAACTTAGACAATACCTTAGAGGAGTTAGAACACCACATATCATTACATGCATGCGTTCAATATTGACCCAACATAATTTTCGCCCAATTCATTATAATGAAGACAATACAATACCATTACAAATTAAAGACATTTTATTACAGATTGCTATTCGTAAGTTTCTCGAACAGCCTGATCGGTAGTTACGATAGGTTCTTAGAGTTGAGATGAGATTAGGGAATAATAGCAGAAAAATTTGTATGCTGTAATTCTAGGATCTCAGAAGTTTTTTTTAATCTAATCAATAAATATCATTACTAGGTATTAGTACCCGTAATGATAGAAGTCTTGCATGAATACCGGTCATTTCCGGGTCAGTGCTGGATCCTAACGTAACAATAATAACAATAATAGGCATTTATTTCCAACAAGTTTTCACCCAACTACAGGATATACAAAAATACATATACAAAGAGTAGAATGTTGTATTGGCAATGTAGGTACTGTAACAATCCGCTTCGATGAGTATGACTTACCCCAGTACAAAGGGATTGAGCTCGTTAACTTGTCTTCGCGGGCGGTTACCACTAATGTTAGGATCGCTAAATAAGACTACCCAACTAAGAATAAAATATTGAGTGTATAACAAAATGTATTAAAAGAGTAGTATATATACAATAGTTGAATACAAGTTATGATACTGACTAACTAACTAATTTCACTGTAATTAAGTAAGGCAACAAGTTTTGGATGAAGATAAGATGTCAAACATGGTGAAGAGAATTTAATCTAACTGAACTCTCCCTACGTCCGATATGATATAGCGACGGAGTCCCGTGAAGGTGGTACGGAGTCCTAGCTGCTCGCTTCCAGCACCCCTGACCTTGTCTCACTCTCCGTTACTCGGACGTGCTTTGGGAATGGGTTCTCCTAGACTGGAGTTGGAGATACCTGGAGTTCCTGACAGTGTGGATGGAATATCCGGGGAGTAGACCTGGATTATTCTTGGATTCGTGTTGGATCCTAGTTGGATTCTACTTGGCGGAGCCCTGTTTCCAGGCCCTGCATATTGAATTTAGCTCTCCACCCCCGACCTTGGACGTCACTTACTCTTTCTCGCGATATAGGCACAATCCGTCCCCGACGTTATTTAACTTATTCGTTGTCTGTTTTACTCGGTACTTCACACCCGGGACACAACCTCCTGCAGGTTTTTGGCCCCTTTCCACAGATCACCGAAAACCGAACTATACGCTGAACGCTCGTGGAAAGAAAAGAGCGACTGTTACGATCGATCGGTGGTAATCGATTTGCAAATCATTCACGCATCGTGACATGCGTCACGAGCGGTCGTTATATCCCAAAAACTACAGGACGGCGTTCGCGAATACAATTTGCTGGGTGGAACACAATTATATGTTACTGTACCTAATTCTAGTTACTATAATATTCTTAATTAGTAAAAGTATTATAAAAATTTCAATTTACTACATAACATAAACCATTTAATTATACCGGGTGTCTGGAAAATGACGGATTAACTCTCCGCTACGCTCTTAACAATCAACTGGTGAGTCTGGGAAAAATAGTAAAAAACATCCTTCTCGCATTTTGGTGGAGTTATAATGATTTTACAATTGGTTCTTTTTCTGCGTTTAACAACTATTGTCTTTGCCATTTTTATTGAAACACCACCTGTTGATTTTACTTAAAATTTAGCAATTGGTGACAGCTTTCGGTTAATTGACAACGGCTTTTAGTTAGAAAATTGTCTGAATATGAACGTTGCCAAATTTACGATTAACAAGTGGTGTTTCAATATTAATGGCAAAGACTATAAACAACTCATTAATTATCACAATAACTAGTAATGAAATTTTTAGTTAATATTTTTCTCACCCATGACATGATTTAATTACCATTTCAATTAAAATGCACAAAGATAATTATGTCTGTGTGGTTTTTGTAATAATTTGTTAAAATTCCATTTGACAACAATGTTTGCCTGATATAAAGCGAAGGTGGATTTCAGTCACCATCGTTACTAAGAAACCAGAAAGTAAGCCGGACGCACTAGGTGTGTGCAGTGTTGTTTTTATAAAATTACGTTTTTTTTTCGTAATCTACATCATAAAGAATTTTTTTATTATTTTTTTGGGACTCCCGAAACTCCCATATATAACGTACTGAAGAGTTAATCCACCATTTTCCAGACACGCGGTATAGCTAGTTTGTTTATGAAATTATCACGAATATGAGTTGGTTGTTGGAAAAAACATCAAAATTGTCACATACACCATTAACGTAATGATTTATACCAACGTACTAATTATGCTAGCTTTAATGTACATTACACTATTAAATCTAGAATTTACTCCAGGAATTAAGATGTTAAATTTAAGCAAAAGCCAAGAGCAATCTATTTTGTTATTTAAGTTTTATTTTTAATAAGAACCTAATACCGATCACAATTCTACAACTTTGAAGGAAGTTAAAGTTGTTTTTAATTAACAGTAGAGATTATTCAAAGCCTGTAACAAGGTATACACCATCAATTATGTAACTTACAAATTTGAAAAATTTTTCCTTGCACTGATTAAATATCGCGAATATGTGTTAAAATATACAGGAAACCAAATCAAGGAACCGTATTGTAATCTGGATCTAACTAACGAAATATTACAGTATACAAAGCGATCTTACATTTGAAAAATGTTAGCCATGTCTGTATATAAATCCATATACTTTGAATACCTTGAAGACCATTTCATTGAAATGTGCAACAAAAGTTAGTTGTGAATCAAGACAATTCCATTTAGGTTATAATTAAACTGAATAACACTTTGTCTCGAAAACGACAAAATATAACATTTGCGTGAATTAAACCTGAATCTCTCGCTGAACCTATTACACCACTGCACTGCGTTGACGAAATTCACGGTCATGAGTCGAATTGATGAGATGAAACAGTTGAAGATCATTTGCGAATAAGAGCTTTTCACAATCTACTATTTCAGGTAAGTCACTAATAAATAGTAAAAGCAAAGGTGGTCCCAAATTTGATCCTTGCGGAAGTTCCGATGTTGGTGTAAAATAATCAGATTCAAAATTATGATATTTTACTCGACTTTCTCTAACTCTCAAATAAGAAATAAAGAGTAAAATTAACGATTCAGAAACTCCAAATGAACGCATTTTCGTAATCAGAATAGAATGCTGTTTGGTCGGAGGCTTTATTAAAGTCTGTGTAAACCACATCCACTTGGCTTTTCCTATCAATTGCCTAGAAAAAAAAACAGGTGGATTAGTGGCTATAAAACCATGTTGAAACGGTTAGTTCCAGTCTTTCAATTCATATTAAAGATGTCTACATAATATGGTTTCAAATATTTTGACAAAGTTATAGTATATATAGAGTAGAGTAATAGCTCTGTAGTTTTCGGTGTCTTTCAGATTTTATTTTTTGAACTCTGGAGTAATATAGCGTTTCTTCCAGATAAGTGCAAACTTTGAATTTTTTAATATTACATTAAAATGATAAAAAAGAAATTTAATAAAAATACTGGCACAGTCTTTTACCAGAAATCCGGGTACGTTATCATGCCTGTCGTGAACGAATTTTTACTCTCTTGTAAGACCTGCAATATTTGTTTTTCACTAATAGACGTTAAGGAAATAATGTAAGAAGTTTTATTTCCTGAAGTCTGTTGACAGAAGTCGCAGTTTGAATCTATAACAGGGCTATATAAATGAGACGAGGTTTGGAGAGTTCAATGCTTTTGTAGCTCATTATACCCGGAATTTTAGTTGAGAACTTCTTAGACTGTACAAATATCCAGGCCTGGCTCCTTGGCACTAGGTAACTGGGGCCGGTAAACATTACCTCCGTATGGGGAACGTGAGAAGAGCAGTATGATCCTCCGGAACGACATACTTTATGCAACAAAGGAGCGAATACACAGCCTCTCTTGTCCAATGTCAACTCCCATCTTCACAAGGTACAGGTTGTTTAACACCGACGGGAGTTCTGGTGAAGCCTTCAGTCTCCCTTAACCGAGTTGAAACTCTGGGACCGGATACTTCTGCCATACTGGGGCGGCTAAGGAGCTGAGGAAACCAGCGGCATGTGCGGGCGGTGCACTGTCAACAGTCCTTCGAACTGGATGGGCTCTAGGCTCAGAAGGTTGTGCGTACCCTTATCCGTATGGGAGGCGAGAGAACGTTAGTAAGCTTCAGGGAAAGCGGGGAGTATCGGTTCGAACTGGGGGAGAAAGTTTATATAATAATCGGTCAACTAAGCCACCTCTCTCGACAGGTCACGCGAAGCTCACTAAATTTCGAAGACAGCACTGGCCAGGTTCACCAGTACCCGTCGAACACAGGAGCGTGATGCACGGAATTTGGCAAGTCAAAACCTAAAAAATCCGACCCGTGACGGAACGCTTACGTTCTGGTAAGGTTCTACTTTCAAGTAAACGAGCTATGCGGGTAAGTATGTTGTCTAGAGTGAGTAAACTCAGCAGTTAGGGAGTGTGGCGGCTACCTCCGAGTTAACTCGCTTTTTTCACTTATTTCAAGTCCAACCCCACCTCCAAAGGTACGGACTTGGTAGCTAGCAACAGGCTTCATACCGGGCTACGTCGTGGCCCAGATGCCCACCGCAGCAAGGTAGTAGGCCAATGGGTTCACCAGTCCCGATCTTAACGAGGTGCCCCCTTGAACTAACAAAGCCTGGTACCTAGAGACGGGCCTCCAAGTCCCACAGGGGACTGCCGTCTCCAGGTGCCGACCCCCATTGGTGTAGGACTCGAGAGGGTTGTGAAAAGCTTCTTGATGGTGGGTCGGCCTTAAAGCCCACTGGAGGGAAAGGGAGGAGTGGCACGGGCCCTCCCAGGATTATCATATACAAATGCCCAAAATTTATTAGGATCATTTGTTAATGTTAATTTCGATTTTTAAGGTATACTCTTTAAATGAATTATTAATAATTTTTTACTATGGGAACGCAGTTGTTTGAATAAGTTCAACTTAAATTGTGATCAGACTTAAGTTTTTTTTTAGAGTGTAAAATAGACTTAAGACGTAAATTCTAACTAAAATGTGGGAATAATTCTGGCTATTGTTTCATTTAGTTTACCATAGAACAGAGTATATGCCATGTAAATATTGTTAACAGACGCTAGAATTGACCAGTCCCTAGTTGAGCATATCAGGCATGTGTGGATAGTTGGCTTTTTTTAAATGAAGTGGACTGCAGTAGTGAAATCGGCACCGAGCATAGACCTGCTAACTTTGCAAGACAAATTCGAGAACGCCAAGTCTAGAACATGGTCATAACCATAACTGTTAAGAATATTATGCAATTCGATAATATTGTTGAAATGTAAAATGTTATTTATAGTTAATGTAAATTTATTTTGTTCAAAAAATAGTTCAAATTTGTTAAAAGATCTAGAACATGCAACGAAAACAAACATGGAATTTTGGTTGTCACCATAGATCTTGACACACACTGTATCGATTGCTGCAATAGCATCTTTGATGTTACTTAAGTTTAGTGATACTCCATTTAAGAGTGACTTAATTGCCAAATCAATATCTCTTTTTTAGTTTTATCTAATTCTTGAATACTACCATCTTTTATAAAAACTAAATAATTACTAGGGAAGATTTCACTGTTAGGGATCTTCGGTAAGCCATGGTTCTTTACAAGCAATGACGTTAGTCTCGCAGGAAGATGTTCCATTAAAGAAATTAGTAACTTTTTTACCTAGATCTCTGACATTTTGATATACACAGTTGATACGACAGATATAATTAAATGATTTCTTTAGTTTAAATTGCTTGTAGAAGAACAATTTATTGCACGTATTTGAAGGAAACCTTTTGATTTTAAGATTATTTTCACCTTTCGCAATCCCCGCATACAGTGAGCTCATTTTTAATTTTCTTATAATACGCAATTGGTTTTGGTGTCCTGTCGAAGACGATGATATCGAGTGCAATTCATCACGTTCATTAGATTTTAATATTTTAGCATCACAAACAATGTCTGTAACTTCAGTCGAGTTTATAAGGGACAGCATAATTGGTCTTGGGCAAGTAATATGTTGGAAATTGCTTTTAATATTGACCACTTTCTTTAAAACAAATGTTTAAAAAGTTTTCTTATTATCCCGGCACCTCCACCTTTTATATGAAAAAATCTGAATGCATCAACTTAATATTAAAAGTTGTAATTTCTTGGAAAATTTTTTCAGCATCGAAAGCCTGTGGTTTTTTGAGGTATCTGGTAGAACAAGTGACATGTGTTTATGGAAAAAAGGTAAAATAGACAAAGCAGTACCAGAATGCATGATTTTTCAATAAAATTGCCTTGACTTCGTTTTACCTGAACGGTTCCACATCCCCACATCGCATTGGCGTTGATGTTATTGACAGGAAAATGATGTATTAATATCATTTACACATAAATATCCTTTTCATTTTGTTAAACTTCCTCTTCAACCGCTCCTCCTGAACGCCGAACGTGCATCGACCCCTGCTTTTCCATTACTTAACAAGTGTTTAAACTTTTACCAGGCATGAAGAAGAGCAGGGCGTTTACAGAAACATTGACAAATCATCGAAAATAAGCGACATAAAACACTGTCTTTGAAAGCATCAGGTCGTTTTATTTCCCAGCTGATGTATGGCAACAGTTCAAGGATTGAAGTGCATCGCCAACCGCCTGCCCCCGAGCGATAAAACCTCGCAAAGGCAAAATAATGCGACGAAACGATGATATATACGCAAGCACGTCCTTCGTCCTTCCGCAACGTCGTCAATTTTGCATGTTTCGTATTTATGTGGAATTTTGATTGCCCTGACGCTCGATACGAATGTTCACACTTTTCATTTTTCGTTTGGCTTTTGGGGCAAAGTTACGCAGCCCCGATTAATAAGGATGAAAATAATGACGGCTTTTAGAATGAAATAAAGTGTAAGTATCGAAGTTCGTGTTTCAGCTGAAAACGTTCGCAGCTGAAAAAGGTAAAAATCGACTGCAGTGATCGAACGTGCCCAAAACAAAATTAATCTAACGAAGTAGACGTTATAAAATCGTAAACTAGACAGATCAAATTACTGGTATAAAGAGGAACTGCCATAAATCTGTACCAGTTTAGTTCGTGTAATAATGTCTTTTCAGACAAATCGGACATAAAAGAGTTGATTGATAATAATGCCGGTTTATGAGAACGTTATCTTCAATCTCTTTTGCTCGCGATTTAAATTTATCAGTAGATGCGCGAATCTGGAAATATCGATGTTCTGCAAAAGCAAAATTTTGATCGCCAGAACTGAAAATAAAGTTGCTCCTATAAATTTTGCGCAATTTTACATCGCGCTGGTTGATTTACACGCTGTCACAGTCTAAAACTATTTAGACTTGGCAAAAATAAAACCTTTAAGTGATTTGTGTATTTCTAATTCTAGACAGGTGTCACTAAAAAATAAAATTATCGTTAAGTTTATTGAAGAGAAAGTCATTGAGAATAGAATATCATTAAAATACATCCTTAAAATAGTTTCTGCTCACGCAAAACACCTGCAGCCCAATTAGACCTTCTTATTTTAGTCATTATTATTAAAATGTGAGAGACATAAAATTTGAAGATCAATTACAGTTTTATAAGAATGTGCTCACTTGTGATGATTTGAATATAATCTTCTTAACCCAAAGTTAATGCTAATGATTATTTCCAGCTCAATTTCACTCTACGAATCCGTTGTTGAAAACAATATTCTGTGTTGCTATGTTCCATTAGCCACTAGTTTAACTTTTTCTCTTTTAAAATAGCTTTCACCAGTTTTTATAAATAATAATCTTCTTGTGTTTAAAAATTTTAAGTGGTAAAAATTATATCGTCCGTAAATAAGATCACTTGTGAATTATAAATATTCAATGTTGCATAATTAATATAAATAGTAAATAATGTAGGTTCAAAAACTGATCTTTTGGGTGCTTGGTAATGTCGTAATCAAGGCGAGGAATTCTTTAAATTTACAAAAACGTGCGTGTTATGCAAAAAGTAACAAAGTAATTTTGAAACAGATACTTATGCTAAATAATCAGAGTAAAAGAAACGTATGTAATAAGTTAGCTAAAGAAAAAATGATGTATAACATAATTCGGATTCAACAATATTTATTAAACGATATTTAATATATAATATAATAATTTTCTGGACTTTTTGTTAATAAGTATTAACATAAATCTTACACTTGGTTAATTTTCAAAAACTGATCTTTACAGTTACTATGGTGACCATTACCTTACTTAACAGTTTATGAAAATACAAAGAAAACATGCAAAAAAACAAAAGTGGTGCATGTTAAAATAAAATAAAGACGTCAGTCCTAGCTACTTGAGGCAAAAATCATCACCTATAAAATAGCTTATGTCCAACATTTGCTAAAACAGTGCTTTAATTACTTACCAATGGAGTACGAAACAATCCATGGCAACAACTCATAAATGTTCGTATTGACCACAGAGTTTGAGATTCCACAATCAAAACTATAAGAAATAATTCCCACCAACTGTAGTTTCGAACTGTCGGGATCTTTCCACAGAAGAGGACCACCTTTATTAGGACGACATATTGTACTTCCGCGAGTACAAAATTGGTGCGAAAATATCCCATTCATGTACTTTCTAGCAAGAGCATTGTTGCAAGTCTCATTAGAAATAACAGACCACTGTACTCTGCGCAAAGCAATGTGACCAGAAGTGTTGTGAAAACCCCAATCTTGAAAAAATTAAAACTACTTTTTACTGGTTAAATAAAAAAAAAATAGTCACCTAAAGCTGTGAGTGTTTTTCCTTCGAGACTGTGAAAACTGTTCTTGAAAGGCAAACACACAGGTGTCACTACCGAGTTGAAGTGAATCTCTCTATGAGTGTGAAGGAGAGCTATGTCGTACGCAAACTTGTAGCTGCTGTATAAGGGGTGTCGCTCTATGAGCCAGATAGGAATAACATCAGTAGTGTTGGTAACTGTGTCTATAAGAAAATTTTTTAACATATAACAACAATATTGCGAGTAAAATTTTAACCAAGGTTGTGATCGTCGCTGCCAACCAACAAAGCCAAATCGTCAGAATCCCAATTTTCTGTGCAACTAGCTGCTGTTACAGCATATCTGGGTGATATTATAGTCGCTCCACAAAAGGCTTCTTCTGTTGCAATAAACATCAGTGCTGCAGTAGAGGGGTACTCCGTGATCGTAGCTTTTCCGTCGTCGTTAGACTTCTGGTTAAAAGTTTGTACTCGTAAGGGGTTACAGCCGCAAACTTAAGCAAACATCTACTCACTGGAGATTCATACCCGCAAGAGCAGTTTGATTGTTCACTCAAGGATTGTACAACACAACTGTACGTGCCTTGGATAGCACCTTCCGCAAATTGCGCTTAAAACATACCAAGTGAATTAAGTTCAACATTACCTCAGTTCTTAACGTTATGCAGAGAGTACATTTAATGCAAAATATACAGGGTGTTATTGAAAGGTACGTACAACAAAATGGACAGTTCTTCGCAAAATCTAAGAAGTCGGAAAAACTTATTTTGTGTTATTAAAATTATAAGGGGAAAATTAACCCTTATCCAACCTTTTTAGACGCTACTGAAGGATAAATAGGTAAAATTAATTTATTTTAGTAAATCCTAGCAACTGTAACAATAAAACTTTTGTCAAGACTAAATGTTGTTATAGAAACGAAAGATGATCTTTTTATCAGAGGCGTGCAACGAATTTGGACATATATTTTAATAATTTTTATCTCTTAAAGGAGAACACTTTTACCTGAACTTTTTTTAACTTTTAGCACCCATACTTCGAGACCAATTACCGATTTTATTTTGTACGTACCTTTCAATAACAGGCTGTATACTACATGCGTAATTTGGTGTTATCGATGCTTTTTTTTAGTTTTTGTATATTTCGAAGCAAGAACATATTGGAACATAATTTGCTGCCACAAGTTATATAGCTCAAACAATAGTGGTTTGTGGTAATTTGGTTAATGTAAATTGGAAAAGATGGACTAACTCCATAACATAAACAGGCAATAAAAACACTAATAGTATATTATTAGCCAAGGTTGCAGAGCCAAGCATTCTAGACCGAGCTCAAATTAGAACCCGAGACGCGCAGCGTCGAGGGCTCTAAGTGCGAGGTCTAGAAGTGGCTTTGCAACCGTGGTTAATATACTATTTTTTTCACTAGTAGAAACCATAAGACAATAAACTGAAAAATAAACGTTCAATTTTTTGACGCAACATGATTTTGTTTTGATTTCTAATCAAACTTGATCTAAATCTTCAACACAAAGAAAACCGTTTATACTTGTCGCTGAGTTAATCATTTTATCTTCTACCGTCTACCAACTACCATGCATATACTCAAGTAATGTTTGTAGCACACATTTGTTCATTTTTTAAGAAATAATCACATCAAACATTGCGTACATAACCTCAATTTTTCTTTTTGAACCCGTGGTAGCAAAAGTTGAATTTGCTACCACTAAATGAGTCGACATTTGCATGCGTCCAGGCTGCTAGTGAAAAAAATATATTCTTATTTAGTTATGCCCGTATGTTTTTGAATATGCATGATTAACATTAAATTTACTGTGAGAGATTTATAGTTTTTTACAAAAGGATATGTTCTGTTGTTGCAATTTTGTACTTATTCTTTTGTCAAATGATAGATACTGGGCTTCCATACATGATGCATGCAATTGGGAACTAATTCGTTTCGTTTTTTTTTGAAGTTATGAGTATGTATGTAACTATCTGATTCGAAGAGAAAAGAATAGATATGGTGGAAATTTTGATTTTTTTTTATAACTCGGCCTCATTAAATAGTGCAAATAAGCCAAAATTTAAATGTTTTGTATGTGCTGTTGATTCATCCTGTTGGAAGTAACCTAAACCAAGTTCTTGATCATTCAATTGGTGTGTGAATGGTTGCAAAAATTCTTGCATGTATCGTTCCCGAGTTATCATTGCAGAACAACTTCTGGTTAATTTATATTTGCATTAGCTACCAGTTTTTACAAATCTGTTCATCATATCTCAAATGTCATTTAATAAAGAAGTCTCCAGAATTTCAATTTCTGAGAACCTTGCAACGTACGCACCCCTGGTACCATTCTGGGATGTCCCGTTACGATCTTAAATCATCACAAAGGTAAATGTTTCCTGTTCCAAAGAATTGTTATTTCTTTCTAAAACACACTAGAGTAAGTTGCAATGGTTTAATTATAGATACACTAGCTACTCTTTGAACCGACGTAGTTAATATCACGAGTGTAGTTTTTTAATAAACTCTTTTATTAGTAATGGACGAACCTTAGTGATAAACAATTCAAAAACACAAACAACGAAACAACTTCAGACCAAGACTAAATTAACAGCTGTGAGATGACACATTAATGTAAAAGGTTTCATCATTCAGGAGTGGCAAATAATAGGTACTCTGAATATCGAATTTAGTTCGTTTAAGTGAGCTCACGGACACAATGTTTATATAAAAATCTATTTCTAAATATGATTTTAAATTTCTTATTAACGAGATTGTTTTCATGAAAAGTGAAACACTTTTAGGTGCTTGTAATCATAACAAAATAAACTAAATTACCAACTGCAAGTCGATTTCCTTTAGTATATTCAATGAAAGTAGTATTTCCACAATAGTTCCTAGCATCTCTAAATTCTTTATCTCCTGTAGTGGAAATGGAGAGTTTTTCTTGTTCACAGTTTTCTGACTGTAATTTTACTTAATTAATTCCAGAAAAAAAGGTTACAATCTTTCAATTTTAACATCATTAAAAGCATTTAAAAAAATCAGACTTTTTACAGGCTTTCTCGTTTTAATCGATTACTGTATGGTACGATGTGGTCCTAGTTTGCAGAAGACATTCAGTATACTTCAAAGTTTACTTACCGCGGGTATCTTAACCATGTCACAACTCACACGCATTCTATTGCCGTCGGCATTTTCTACTATCCATCTGCAAGCTTTTGTAGATCGATGTAAAGGGAAGACCAGGTTCACCGGATCCTCTGTTTCTTTTTTTATAACAACTCGTTTCCACAAATTTATTTTCCTATCGCAGACTGGATCTATCTCTAGGTCTGCATGTGAGAGCATCACAGGATAAAGCAGAATGCATGTAGTTAAACGACCAAAGACTGTATCTACCACAAAAAATGTTCATCATCATGTCCATCAATCAGCCAATTCAAAACGAAACGAAGATCTTTTTTGAGAATTTTTATTTCACTGTTCTAAGAATAATTTCTTATTTCTCTGTGGAATCTATTTTCTGCACAAATAGATTCGGAATAATTTGATCGGAAATTCGAAAATAAATAATTTGATGAAATGAAATAAATCCTAACCGTGTTCTTTGAATAACTAACTAAAATCAATATTAATTTTTTAGCAAAATTTTTAAGAGATTGTATAATTTCTGAAATAAATTCCAGGAAACACAAAATGTTAACATTTTCATCTGTAGTATAATTGATAGTTCGGAAATTCAAAGCAAAAAGATTAAGATACATATCAATTAAACATGGAATAATAAAATTTTCAAATATTTTCGGAAATAACATAAGAATAAAAAATAGGTCTAAGGTTATTTAAACAGAACTTCCCTTGTACCTGAAGCACAACCCAACAAATACTGCATTTTCGAAAATGATTTTAGGAAATTTTATTTTTTATAATTACCCCTATAAGTTAAAAAATATAAATAATAGGAATCACAGTGTAAGAAAAAGAAACTTAATTTACAAAAATGTGTGTAGAACAATGTAATGCCTAGAGGTCGCACTTTTCGACACCGCATGACTTTGAAGTAACCTATAGCTCATATTTCTTATCCTTGAAGCAAACAATTCTACTTTGGCAAAATTATCGATAATATGAGCTACTCGTACGTATATAATTTTACTTACGATAAACAATAAACGACCATAGCAACAAGTAGAATGTGAACACTTTATTTGTCTACAACTTATAATATAAAATACATTTGCCACATAAAAAAGAAAACATAAAAATAGTTGCTTTTACAAATAACGGGCAAAGTGAAATTTTTCCGAAACGACGTAATCGAGATTAAAAAATCTTTCGAAAATAAAACGTTTTATCGAATTGTGCAAGTTGCAGTGGCTTTATTAAACTTTTCTATCGAATTGATTTTTTTTTTCGTAAATATTTCATAGTTTACATCACTATACAGGATTATTCACGAGAAGCTTCACGCCTAAAAAATTCTAGACGCAACCACATATACAATTTCAAAACGATCTTTGAAATTTCATGCCATTTTTTTTTTTAAGTAAAACCTAGTTATCTGTTTCTTGTAACAACATTGACGTAGTAGCAAATACTGCCATCTTAAGACTAATGTTTCGTCAGAATTGATGCAGAGTATGTTCAAACGCCGAAAAGACCGATGTGATTTTGATATGTGCTTCACTGTTGTGTAGCGAACATTGTCCTTACAGGAAATGCCCTGTGACAAGATCTTGTTTTGAATTTGTTTGTTTTTAATTTTTTATCGTTCACTTATTTGTTAAACTTATTTCTTAATATGCATGCTGGGGATGAATGTAAAGCTACTCCTAACATTCACCTTGAGTGTTAAGAGACCCTTAACATACACCTCGAATGTTTACAAAAAGCCTTGGCAACATGTACAGGGGGGGAAATTTAAAATCGGGCTGAATTTTTTGACGACTACAAATATGACTTTATTAAAGTATAAAGAATTCTAGGAAACCAGAATTTAAAAGTGTCAAATTTCATCTTTGGAAATTTCCGACAGAAAAACGAAAATTGGTTGTACTTACTCAGCATAGTGCATACACGATAGACATATATTAACATACAACTTTAATGAGCTGAACCACATACATATAAAGGTAGCGAATTTAAGTGCCCCACGTTGTTGTTGATAGTGATAAAAAGGGTATTCTAATCGCAAATTCAAAAAATTACTTGCCAATGGTAATTTTCTAGGATAAATTTAAAAACCAACCAGTACATATTTTTTAAATTTGAGGAGTGGTCGAAATTACTGTTTATATTAAATTAAGTGCCACTGATGGCAGTGACAGACTTGGGACTCTGGGACTCGGGCACCAGCTTTTTACAAGATAAGATACATCCACCTAATTTTCTCATTCTAAATTATGAAAAAATACGTCGGAAGTTAAAAAGTATAGGTCCTACATATTCCGTTTGAAATACTAAAACAAAAGCTTTAACAACAGTTCACGACTAAATTGACTAGATGAACTTCTGTGTACAGTTTACTTTTTTGGCGCAAACAAATGAAACCATTATGAAAACATTGGTCGAAAGTTGTTTCGACAGAACCTCCCTTGCACCTAAAGTACAATGTAATACTAATAATAACAGTATTGTATTCCCAAAATTTTCTGACAAAATGGAGTGAGCCGTTTCTAATTTAATCAATAAGATAAATTGACTCATTCATTAATTTTTTTGAGCCACCTGTTTAAGCAAAACTAAAAAATATGAATACAACGATAAATCACAAGTAAAAACTCATTTATATTTTGCACATTTAAGATAGGATTTATCTGGCAATATTTTGAGGTGACGTCATCAATGTTTTAGTGGGCGATGAGCAAATAAATTTTGATTAAAAGTTTACCATGCTTATGATATCTGCGTAATAAAAACCGGGACGGCAGACAGACAGACAGATAGACAGACAGACAGACAGACAGACAGAAAGACGGACAGACGGACAGACGGAAACGGGAGACCTATTTTTTCGTACTCCAAGGGTCATGAAAGGTCGAGAAAACGTAAAAATAGAGAGGTGGCCGACGGACACGATTACAGTAACACCTGCAAATCTAAAAAAAATTGGTCTAAAGAGTTTAGACAGTACTTCCCTCGCTGTCGGAAACTTGACGACTGCATGCCTATTGTGTTTTTTTTTCTCATTACATTTTTGTAGTGGGAATTTAAAAAAAAATTGTGATGACGTCATCAACATTTTTGCAAGGACACGTATATCAGTTGGGATAGATGTAGTGTAATACTAAGAATAAAATTATTGTATTCCCAAATTTTCGGGAAAATGAATTGGGTCGTTTTGAATATTGATTTCTTATAATCAATAAAATAACCAAACAATTTACTCACGTATACGGCGCCGGTGTGTAATATCTAGAGAGCGGATTTCTGTCGGGCTAGGCAAGGCCAAATTCAGTACGGCTCGTACGGGATGCGAATTCATTGCGGTTGCGGACTGCACTTCGTTTATTTGAGATTAGAATAACGCTCTTTCGTTGCACTCTGCTGTTAATTCCCGTTCTCATTTACTTAGCCGTTTGATTAATAAATCGTTAATTATATTTATGGAATTAGTACTGATTAAATTCAGTGATTATCTATCACCCGCTACTGAGTCCCGGCGATCCAGCGCGTCCCCACCTATAATCGTGACGTAGCCCGACAAAAATCCGCTGTCTAATAATATGAAAGGCAACTGAAAATCGTTTATGTATAAACATTCTTAATTCAAGATGGCAAGCGTAACAGCATACGTGAGAGTCAAACAGAGAAACTGTAAACAAAACGACCATCGGTTTTATTGCTTCGACTTCCGCTTATTATATAAAACATTGGGTTTTATTTTAATTCTTGACGGTGAAATTCACAATTGGTTGATTATAAACATGCCTCTTCTACATTCGCGGAACCAAGTGAGCGCATAAAACAAATGCAGGTCTGTAATGTTAAAGTCGATGTAAATAAGCGTGCTACCCTTATGTTTCAACCGAGTTTTTCCTTTAACAAATTTTGTGTCTACCAAATTGGGTTGGTTGGGGTGTAATACTAATAATAAGTGTTGCCTTTAATTTAATCAATAAAATAAATTGACTTCATTAATTTTTTTGAACCACCTCTTAAGAAAATCTAAAAAATTTGAATGGAATGATAAATCACAAGTACAAACTTTGTTTGCATTTTAGATAGGATTTATTCAGCAAAATTTAAGGGTGACGTCATTAATTTTTTTAGGAGGGATGAACAAATACATTTTGAACAAAAGTTTACAATGCTTATAATAACTTTAAAATATTCCCAAGATTTCAAAGCATTCGGTTTTGTAATTCCTGATTAAATCGATAAAATAAATTCACGCATTCATTAATTTTTTTGAGTCACCCTGCATATGCAAATCCAAAAATATGAATGGAATGATAAATCACAAGTACAGACTCATCAGATTTTGTACATTTTAGATACGACTTATTCGGCAAACTTTTGAGCTGACGTCATCAGTTTTTTGTAGAAGATAACCAAATATATTTTGACTAAACATTTATTATGCTCTTTATGACCTTGAAACATCTGCAAGATTTCAGAGCATTCGGATTAAATCAATAAAATATATTTACGCATTCATTAATTTTTTTGAGTCACCCTGTATATGCAAATCCAAAAAATATGAATGGAGTGATAAATTACAAGTACAGACTCATCATATTTTTACAGTTTGGATAGGATTTATTCGGCAAACTTTCGAGCTGACGTCATCAATTTTTTGGAGGGGACAAGCAAATATATTTTGACTAAACATTTATTATGCTCTTCATAACCTTAAAACATCTGCAAGATTTCAAAGCATTCGGTTTTGTAGTTTCTGAGTAAATCAGTAAAATAAATTTACGCATTCATTAATTTTTTTGAGTCACCCTGTATATGCAAATCCAAAAAATATGAATGGAGTGATAGATCACAAGTACAGACTCATCATATTTTGTACATTTTAGATATGATTTATTCCACAAACTTTTGAGCTGACGTCATCAAGTTTTTGGAGGGGATAAGCAAATATTTTTTGACTAAAGATTTATGTTGCTCTTTATAGCTTTAAAACATCTGCAACATTTCAAAGCATTCTGGTTAGCAGATTAAAAATTAAATTTCAAAATGTTGTTTTATAATTTTGATTTTTTTTCCAAAAATCTGGACGTTTCGGGTGAAAAGTCGATTCGTAGTTGTAAACTACATGTGTAGGACTATGTTATTTTATAAAATTGAAAACCCATTTACTATGTACAATTTTGAAGTGACGTCATCGCATTAGTGGT